CTAAAGGTTCTTTTTTTTTTCCTTCTCTTGGTTATATATTAGGTATCATATTCTAAGCTATTAGTCTCTTCCTTTACTGACTTTGGGAGTGGTTGATTTGATTTTGCATCTGATTAGTAATTAATTGGTCTACTTTCTTTACTATGGTTTTATTTCCTCTGGTGAGAGCTGCTTAGTCTTAGGAACACTTCCATCTATAGCAGTCCCTCCAAAATACACAGTAGAGATATTTTGTGGGAGGTAAATTCTCTCAGCTTTTGCTTATCTGGAATTTTTTAATCCCTTCTTCAAATTTAAATGATGACCTTTCCAGTTAGAGTACTCTTGGTTCGAGGTCCTTCTGCTTCATTGCATTAAATATATCATACCACTCCCTTCTGGCCTGTAAGGTTTCTGTTGAGAAGTGTGATGATAGCCTAATGGGTTTTCCTTTGTATATGATATTTTTTCTCTCTCTTGCTACTTTTAGTACTCTGTCATTATCCTTGATCTTTGCCATTTTATTTATTATGTCTTGGTGTTGTCTTCCTTGGATCCCCTTTGTTGGGAGATCTGTCTACTACCATGGCCTAAGAGACTATCTCCTTCCCCAGATTGGGGAAGTTTTCAGCAGTTACCTCCTCAGAGACTCTTTCTATCCCTTTTCTTGCTTCTTCTTCTTCTGGTACCCCTATAATGCGAATATTGTTCTGTTTGGATTGGTCACACAGTTCTTTCAATATTCTTTCATTCCTAGACATACCTTTTTCTCTCTGTGCCTCAGCTTTTTTGTATTCCTATTCTCTAATTTCTGTTTCATTTACTGTCTCCTCTGCTTCTTGTAATCTGCTTTTAAATCCCTCCATTGTATGTTTTATTTCAGATACTTTTATTCTTCAATATTTGTATCTCATTCCTGAATTCTTCCCTGAGTTCTTGAATATTTTTCTGTAGCTCCATGAGCATGTTTATGATTTTATTTTGAAATCTCTTTCAGGAACATTGATGAGTTCTATTTCACTTAGTCCTGTTTCTGTTGTTTGTACAATTTTGGTTTGAACCAGGTTCCTTTGATGTTTCACATTTATAGGTAGCATCCTCTAGTTCCCAGAAGCTGTACTCTCTGGAGCTCCTCAACCCCTGGAGCAATGGCGGCGGTCACAGCCAAATAGCACGGGTGCCTGTTGGGAGGAAAGAGGTCTTCCCTGCTTCCTGGGTGTAGTGCCTGTCTCCACTCCCAGGGCCAGTGGGCTGAGCATGCAGGGAGAAGCCTCTGTGCTTTGCACTTGTACTTGCCGTAGATGGGGCCTCTCTCTGGTTTGCTTGGCAAAATGGCACAGGCAGCCAGTTTGTGAGTTGGGGCTAGCAGTGATGAAGATGCAGCAGCCTTCATATTGCTGTGGGGGCCTCAGAGCTGCATATCCAGCCAGGGAATGGAGTGCTGTAAGTTCCCAAAAGTTCCCAACCTGCTGTGTAGAGTGCCCCTGGACAATTTTGTCCCCCTGTCCTTTCTCCTGAGCAGTAAGCTGTGTGCAATCCTTGCCCCTTTAGCAGCCATCTCACTGTTAGGAAGTCTCTCAGACTGCCCACCTTTCGTTTGTCCTACAGCAGCCGTATGTGGATTCCTGCTTTCCTGCTTGGAATCTCAAGTCTCTCCAAGTATTCCTCCTGTCTTAACTTTACAGCCCCACTAATCTCCAGAGGACCATGTAATGTAGGTTTGTGCTCCCAGAACAGACATTCAGGGCTGGGTGTTCAGCCGTCCTGTGCCTTCACCTTCCCAGTCCATTTCTCTTCCTCTCCCTGCTGTGCCTGTGTGGGCGAAGGGCTTGGGTTGGTACTTTACCTTTTTCCTTGATGTCTGCTGGTTTCCCCATCATTGACAGTCTGCCACAGCCTTCTTTCCTATCGCTCTTTCAGGATTTGATGTATTTGCGTTTTGGGAGGATTTTCTATCTCACCTCTCAAGCTGCCATCTTTAATCGTCTGGTTCTTTATGTTTTTATGCCAGAGCAAAGAATTTAATTTCTAGCTGTTTAGTTTAAATTCTAAACCTCTTTAGAAAGCCACATGCTAGCAGGTAAATAGAATTCCATTTAGATTTTTCTAAATTGTAATCAGTTGTGTGAAAAACCACATTATATCTTTCCATTTTATTTCTTTGATAATAGTATAAAAAAATACTATTCCCAAAACTTGAACCATCTAAGTACACCTGTTCTTGCAATTCCTTGGATTGTAATCTGTGGAAATTCTTATCAGAGTGTAAGAGTTTTGTATTCTTTTCCTTTTTTCTCCTTACCCCTCATAATTCAGCTGTGATGTTAAGCCACTCTTTCTCTTACAGTTAAAATGAGACATGCATAAGACATGCATGGGTAATTTGCAGTTAACTGCTGGCCTTCACACACGAAAATGCCTCAGCTTCACATCTCATTATGATTCATGCCTTATGCCAGACTCTGTCATCTCAGCACCAGCAGATGGTGGGACAAGGCCCTTGGGGCAGTCTGCCCCAGTGTTCCAGGGTTATGCATCTTCTGGTAGCAGTGATCAGAAAAGGGAAGGATTTTAACATGGTACTGAGTTCAGTTCTTTTTAGTCTCTTGCTAAAAATTTTTTCTTAATTAATGGAAATTCAGTGTCAGATTTTCAAGTGGCACCTTAAAAACATATTCTTTAGTCCAAGAAATAAAATAAAAGCAAAAGTCACATTATGTTTTATAATTGGGCTTGCTGAAAGGACAGCTGCTGTGTTTGTGTACGGTCATCTATACTTTATGTTTGTATAATCTACATTGTAAGAAACATAGTGACAGCACACAAAAGGACTTAATTATTTATGCTTACTTAAGTTTTCTGTTCTAACACCGCTAGATGCCAGGTGGCACCCGTGTTAATTTGTTAGAGTCTGTAGTTGCTGCATATGCTCAGTGATTATTATGACAGGTGACTTTAGACGACTTTATTTTCTTTGTGGGCCTCTCTTCACCTAGTAGGTTTGTTTTAAAGTATCTCCAAAATAATCCTTTTTATTACAGTACATAAAATATAAGAAACTAAAATAGTATTAGCTGTATGAAAATCTACTAGGCTATGGTAGGAAAAAGAAGTGCATGTATGGAGTTTCAGCATGAGTAATCTTGGTTACTTAATGTATAATACTCATGTCATAAATAAACACAAACGCACGCACACAAATATATATATATAGCCAATTGCAGATGACTGTTTTTTCAAAGATAATAAATCCATGGAAGAACAATCTTCCATCTAATTTTCTATTACATCAGCCATTCAACAGTTCTTGAATTTTATGGTTCCTTAACTCAGAATCCTGGGTAGTCAAGGGGTACATATAACAGTGGATTTTAACTTTTTTGACCAGTACCTATAATTAGAAATACATCTTTCATACAGTAGGCATATACATACAGTTATATATGCACATGATTACACATAATTCAAGCCACAGTTTCACTAACGTTGTTTTACTTTGGGCATAATTTGTTTTCTATTCTGCTTTTTTTACTGACATTGATTCTTATTTACCAATATCAGAAGTCCTAAATGGATTGGGGCCCACAGTTTGAAAAACACTGCACTGAGCAGTCAGCACTTTTATAGAAAAGTACAGCTGACCCTTGAACAACTCAGATGTTAGGGACACTGACCCCCTGTGCAGGTGAAAATCCATGTTTTAACTTTTGACTCCCCCAAAACTTAACTAATATCCTGCTGTATATAAAATGGGACAGTTAATTTCAGGTGCAACAAAGAGTAGAAGAGTAGAAAATAAGTGGGAGAGTTGTAGGGCCCAGCAGAGGAAATGGAGCAAGTAGAGGGGTGAGTTAGCTGCTCTCCTGATCCCTGCCAGGGAATACCTGCCTGACTGTGAGTCAGTCCAGGGCTGGGAAGGACGCATTTCATTTGGGCAGAGGTTTCCTGCCTCCTCTTCTGTTCCCCTCAGATCCTAGCATTTCTCTCTGTTCAGATAGTGGCCAGGGAGAGGCTCAGTTGGCTAGTATGGCACTAACAAAGTTAAGGTCACATTCGAATTTCCTGTGGGCCGTTATGTGTATTTTAACGTTTCCATTTCTATCACATCACCAATACAATCTGATGCCTTACATTCAATTACAGAGTCTATATATTTATTGAAAGAAAAACCACATGTAGATGTACCTGCATAGTTCAAGCTTGTGTTCAGGGTTTAACTGCACATTATTTTTTTGTGGACTCTCTCAAGTTATTCTACTAAAAATGATTTTCCTTCTCTGTCTTGATCATGTTAGTTGCCATTTACTTAATAAGAAATCTTGAGTTCTTTCATTTTAAGTTTTGTTTCCTTGAGCTTTATTTCCATCATCATTTCAGGTGTTCTTATTATCTTTTATTTTAACCAAGAAAGGGAAGGAAAGAAGTAGAGACCTCTTGAATTTCTCTATCACCAAATAGAGTTCTGAATACTATCACCTTGTTGGTATTTATTATTTCCCTTCTTCTTTAGCAGTAGTTTGACTTGTGTGAGAAACATAGTAGGCATATGAAGCTATATAATCTCCTCTGTCACTTGATATTAAATTAGATGAAGTGAGTTTTTTGCTTATTGCCACTTACTTTCAAAATTGCTATAGGAAACCATAGAACTTATGTAAATTATATAAAATAATATACTGTTAAGAATTCAGAAGGGAGTTAAAAAAACAAATAGACAGGATTAGAACCAACATTGAAAAGTAAGCTTGGTATGCAAGTGATATATTCAGAAAGGATTCTTTTATAATATGTAGATAGACGAAAGATTGTATTATAAAGTATTATAATGTACAAATGAAAACTGAAGATAAAAGCAGCTTGTGGAACTGAAGGTAATTTTATATAAATAGGTACATTTGAATATATGCCAAACTAACTTCTTTTAGGGCTGGTGAAAATACTTGAAGAATTTATTGTAGATAAAGTCGTCAGTGTTAGTGTTGAAGATACTCATTGAAGCCTTTTATCTGTATCTCTTTCAGATATGGAAACAAGTGAAAAAATCCAAGGAAGTGGAATACTTCAACTCTTTGCAAGTCTGTTGATTCCACAGTCTTCCTGCACAGCCAAAGTAGCTAACATCATAGCAGAAGTAGCCAAAAATGGTGAGGTTTTCCTCAAGAACTTTTCTGCTGGGAACATCTTCAGTTTTACACCATACTTGTCAGTATGTTTTATTAATTTATGTTTTAATTTTGTACATCAGACATTTTTTATTTTCTTTTTCTCTTTATTTTGACTTTTTCCCATGTAATTGTTTCAAATGACTATAGTTATACTCATTCTGTTTGTACGTTTCCCATTTGCTATTTGTTCCTTCAGAGGAGAATTAAAGGAAGCACCGCTAGTCCCTGCTGCATCTGTATCATTTATTACTTTGGATACAGGATCCTTGAGCTTGCCACCGAGTCATTCATGTTGTCACAGGAGGGCTTACCTTTTCCAGTGTGTATGTTGGTTTGTGTTATACCCAGATAAACTCACTATTTTTTCATTGTTTTTAGTGAAGCCTTTCCTACTGACATTAGCACTTGACTGCAACAGTGGCTTTGGAGTGTATGTTCTGTTTTATGCATTCACCTTCATGGGAAACATTTATTTCTTAAGTTTCCATGTAAATACTCTAGAAAAAACAACAGCAGCCAAGCTTAGATTATATAATAGCTAGTCTATCCTATTAGCTGTGGTTTATATCCAGGGTGAAATATTCTTTGAAAGAGTTATATTGCAGCATAAGTATTTGCACATGATTTTTATTCAGTTTGAGAAAGACTGACTTCTTAAAGCAGTTTTTAAGTGTAAGGGAAGGCCATACTTTTGTAGTGCCTTTAGTGTGCATCAGTTTTTCAAAGTTCGGTATTATTTTTATGCCTTTTATTTTAGTTACTGCATATTTGTACACTAAAGAGAGGCAATTAAAAAATGCTGGCTTCATTTGTATAATCACTATAGTATGTGGCTCTGTAAAGTAACAGTATTTGTAATTTTGGCCCAGTAAAACAACTTGTTACCAAAAATAAAATTGCCATGAAGTTTTTCATTTGTTCAGAGTTTCTCAAAATGACTTCCAAGTTCCAATGAGGTTCTATATTGGTAAGTTATTTTTTGGTTATTAACTTAAAACTGGCTGCTTATTGTTTGTATTTCATGTCTAAGCTATTATAATTCTGTAATCACTGTGCTATGGTTTGGATTCAAGCTGGTCATAAATGATCAGAGATTCCTAATGGTCTGAGAGTATTTAGTGTATGTAAAGCAGACTTCAGCTACTCCGAGCAGTGGTTATCTTGGAACAATACAGAACTCCTGAATTAGATGCAGCTGGAAAATGGAACTCTTCCAGACATTGTTAACCTAGACCAATCACTACCTGAATCTTCTTAGATGCATTGCAGCTCAATTTTCAATATCAAATACTTTATTTTTAACCTGCTTAGAGTCACAGTATAGATTTCCAGAAATCAGTTTTTCTTAAAGCATTTTTTTGTTTTGTTTTTTGTTTTTTAAGAATGAGCACACATATGATAATACAGTTTCAAAAATTTTGAATAGTAGATTTTTATGAAATGAATTGCCATTCCTGTACAATCTTACTAATATCAGCCCTCATAATAGTCACAGTTTGATGGTAACTCTATTGCTCCATGTTGCATCTAGTAATACTCTAGTGGATGACAGCTGTATTCTAAAGACAATAGAATTTTTGGTATTTATACTTTTAATCAGAATATCACTAGCCTTTACTGGTCAAAATAAATGGAATACATGTAAATGGTTGTTTATTGCTTAATTACCACATTGTTTTTTAAGTGAATGGCTGAGAAAGTGGATTAGAGCCTTTTTAAAACAAATACATATCTTCATAAATGTAACATGACCCACAAAGTATATTAATTGGGCTTGTATTTCTGCTTGTTAGAAACTAGGTAATGAAGAATGATTGTATGAAGCAGAGTAAAGAGATTGGAAGTTGATTTGTTCATCCTTACTCTGCTGTGTACTTTGCATAAATACAGTGGAGAAATATTAGCATGTACTCTTTAGATTCAGATTAATTTTAAAATTCAGTTATGTTTAAATTTTGTACATATCAAAAAACTCTAAAAATTAACCTAACTGACTGTGTGATGCTGATCTTCAAAATCCAGAGGATTAGTAAGAAGTTTCATGGAGTTTTTTATTATGGGAGTATAGCTATGACCATGAATTATAGTAACAGATTTCGGTAACTTTTAAATAAAATATTCCCCTATGACTGAGGCAAAGGAAAAATAAGCAGGACAGGAAGTATCTATGAATATTCTCTCCTTTTTCAGAACTGTATTCTCAATGTGTCTGATATTAATAATAATTATTTTAAAAATCCTAAAACTAGGTGCTAATGTGCCTATATTGTGCAGGGTGTTATGTAAATTATTCCAAATTCTAAAAGCAACCCTGTATGAGATAGAGTTATTTTATACACATTAGAAAACAGGTTAGATATCTTGCTTATCTTTACACAGCTAGTAGGTGGTAAAGCTGGGATTCAGACTCTTCTGTGATCATAGTTGGAATTTATGCTTCACCTTGTTTGTTCTCTCTTCACTTCTCTTCAGTAAATGAGATTTTACAATAGCAATGGGCAGTGTGCTAGAGGTCTGAGTACAGGGATAGCAGCTTGGGATCTAAAAGATTAGGCTGATGACTGAAGTTGAAAATGTGTAGAAGCAAAGAGAAGGTGAGCCACTTCACATCTGTTTCTCTAGTCCACCAAACACCGGTTCCATCAGAATCAGTGGGAACTTGTCAGAAGCAAATTCCTGGACCCCTTTACCCAGATCTACTGAATCGAGAACTGTGGGCGAGGGGCCCAGCTCTCTGTCCTAACAATCCTCCAGGTGATTCTGATGCCTGTAAAGCATGAGAACCATATCTCAGTCTGAGATAATATGGAATCAGTAGTTTCAATCAGTGTTAATGCCTTTCCTCCTTTATGCTTTGTCAGATTGCAAAAGCACCTGAATGCTTTAAAGAGTGAAAGCATACACCCAGGACAGACCGGGGAGGGCATGGCCAGAAACACAGAAGTCTCCTGCTTTGTCTTGCAAATTTATTTATTTTAATTTTGCCCTCTACTCCATAACAATTATATGTTTATTTTAGTATAAAATTTATGTATGCCCTAGAAAACTCATTGAGTAAAGTTGATACTCCCAAAGAAAGGCACCATGTTGTCAAGTAGCTTGAAGTATAGGGGGAGGGGAGGAGGTTGGGGTGAGTGGTGAGAGGACAAGGAGGATTAAGGGGCACAAAATTCTCAATCATAATATAAGTTGGTCACAGGGATAGTAGTACAGCATGAAGAATATAGTCAATGATCTTTCTGTGTTGACAGACAGTAACTGCACTAGTTGGGGTGAGGATTTAATAATATGGATAACTCTTGAAACACTTTGTTGTATATTTAAAACCAGTGTAAGATGGTATATCAACAATACTTCAATAAAAAAAACATGTGTACCTTAGAATTTCAATGTTGGAAGCTTAACCTCAGCCATTTTGTAAGAATCAGTTATAGTTATTAGTATTATCTTTAAAAAAGAAGGCAATACAGTATGAATAAAAAATGTCTTTTTTTATATCCTTTGCTTATTCTTTTATGTCCATTGCTTATAGTTTCCCTTATTCTTTTAAAGAAAAACAAAGAGCCAAGTGTTAAATATAGGGATGTTATTAGAGAAAATTCAGACTGAATATATATTACTATTTAGTCTGCCAAACATTGAGGTAGACTCAAGCACTCAGTGTTTTTATTTGAGAACCCCTTTGATCAAGGATGAATGTCACATCTATTCTGTTAGCCTCTCCAATATTTATAATGTTTTCAATGTATTCCTGATAAGTTCCTGGTCTATTTTTGCATATATCCATCTAAAGCATGTACCTTCATGTTTTTAAAACTAAGGAAAGCTGCAGTCCTCAGTTAAACAGCACATTGGATGAAAAGCAGGTTTTAGAAGTTTACTTTATCTAAGGACTTTCAGTGTTGTCTTTACATTGACTGAAAGCTGAGGAAAATACTAGTTTATGTTTATATGCTTTTTTTAAAAAAAAATTGAGATACAATTTGACATAGAGCATCAAGTATGTCTAAGGTGTTCTTTCTATGCTTTTGAACAAAAAGTTAAGAATGTTTTTATTTGATTCCACAATTTTCCTCTAATTATCCTCTGTTATTTAAAGCATAACTGAAGTTATTGATTGTAGCATAAAAATTTTGAAAGATATATTGGTATTGTATAGATAATTAGAACATCAAAGCAAATAAAATATTAATTCATCAAGATTGTCATTGCCTGAGGAATAGCAACAAAACAACAAATAGAAGATATAATAACAGGTTCCACTTCTGAAATTAGAGTGCAAATAAGAGTATTTCTAAATTTTTATTTTAGTGGTCCTCAAAATGATCCTACTGTTGGAAACTAGATATTGGGAGAGGTGAAAAGGATAATGAATTTCTGTATTTAATTTGACCAATTCCAGTTGGTTACATTAAGATTTGAAATGTATAAATATTCTAAAGTAAACTTTACGAGGTAGACAGGCTGATGTGTCATATCTCGTAGAAGGTGTTCATTGCATTCATGGAAGTATGTGACATAATTTGCTACCCAGTAGGTGATGGGATACCTCATAGTACTGAGGTTAAAAAACCATCAACAATAAACTTACAGAAGTTTTAGAAGAAGTACTCCTAAAGTTTATGTTTTAATCTTAATCTTGGAAGTTTAAATTACAGAAGGTTTTCAGTAATAATAGTGGTAAGTAAGTGATGTGATAGAAATGTAATCCTTTTTTTGAGTAGAGAGGAATACCTCTCTGACTTGTGTTAGGGTGAAAAAGTTGTTTCAGTGGTAACAACTCATACAACAGCCCTGTATTATGTGGTTTAGGAATTTGAAAATAAAGGGAAAGAGAGGGAGGATTGTTTAGGAGGGCACTTGTGCTGTAAGGAGTGGACCCCTTGAAAGTGATAGTGAAAAAAGTGATTTTTTAGTATAATGGGTTATAGCTGAAGAATTAGGTTTTTGTTGAATAACTTTATTGACTGGGAGGTCCTTACAGTAACTCATAATGTCTAAAATGACAATTTCAACATTGATTATTGGAGAACTTTCACCAACTAGATACCTTCACTATCCTTAAATTTTGTATTTGTCCACCATCAGACACGTAAAAAAGTTTGTCTGTAATCATGACTGTGATGGTATCATTAGGAGTCAATAAATTGAGAACTATAAAACTAACAAAAAATTAGTTTAAAGTATAACAAAGGCTCATTTGGCTATAACAAAGGCTTTAGACCTGTGAATGCATGGGCACAGCAGCAGAAGGGAGTGATCCACAAAATGAATTTTAATGAAGAGTAGCAAGGAAGATAAGTGATAGATGATTCCACTAGGCCTTACTTATTGAAAAAGACCTGTTATTTTTAATGATTCACTTGAAACTTTTAAAATACTTCATATTTGGCCTTGTAAATAGCATAAAGTGAAAAGTTGTGCAATTTGATTGCTTAGTTTATGACCATAGTACTTTAATCATCAGACTCATGGAAAGAACATTGCCAGTGTTTTTATCATCACATATTGCTTCCCAAGCACATCCACTTATTATAAGAAAATAGTTATAAATTAGGTATAAAGAGAGTTAATTAAAATCCTTTTGGTTTATGGCAGAGACTATTAGCAAAAAATAAAAGTACAACCCCACTAATTTTTGTGTACTTGTTTCATGAAGTATTTAATAGAGTTATCATGGTACTTTTGAACAAAGTGTACTCTTCAAATAGTAAGCCATCGTAAACATTTTAGTAGAAGCTATTTATTTTATTAAGGGACACGATTTATGAAATTGTAAATTGTGAATCTAGATTTTTAATTAAATATGTTTCTTATTTTCAGAATTTATGCGAATTCCGTGTGTGGATGCTGGATTGATTTCACCACTGGTGCAGCTGCTACATAGCAAAGACCAGGAAGTGCTGCTGCAAACAGGCAGGGCTCTAGGAAACATCTGTTATGATAGCCGTAAGTGTTGAAATGTCAGTGATACCCTTATAAACTTTGTTTAAGAGTTATGATTTTCAGAGTAATTCCAATTTTAGTGTTAGTACTGTCCTTTCTAGGCTGACACTAACATGGGCCTAGTTCTGCTTATTTAGCAGAACCAGTGGAAATTTGAGGCATAGTTTTTTTAACTAGGAAGTTACAGCAAATGGATTATTTTCATTTGTTATCACAAATGTTATTTTCAGAGGAAAGTAAGTCAGTTTCTAAGAAATTGGGGTTTTTAATTGTAGAAAAAAGTATCTTTTCGACTAGGTTTTATTGAAGTACTATCTCTGAATGAGAATGCTTATGATAAACACAGTCTTTTAAAGTTCCTAAGTCTGTTCAAATACATTTTTAATTGTAATTCAGTAAAACCATCCATAAAAACCATTATCCTCTCAAAAGCTAGGTTGGCCTACTGCATCTGTATTGACTCCATTTCTATTTGTCATAATGTCATTGTCATCCTCACCACTTTCTATATTATTACACTGTCTAAGCATAAAGAAAGCAAGAACTTGGGTAGGGGTATATTGCAAAAATTTTACATTTCCTAATTCTTCCCACATATATGTAAACAAAATACAGGAAAGTCATGAGTATATTCAATTTAATTAGGCTTACCCTGATTTTCCTTTGATTTCTATTTTCTGAACCAAAAACACGTATTTTAACATTCACTTGTAAAGTTTCCTAGCAATTTAGTTCTGTTTATACAACTAGGAAAACTTTCATTTTTTTTCCCATTGAGTTTATACACAAAAAACATAGCCCTTTTATCATAGGCAATGCTTCCAAAAGTGATCTGTGTATATGAGCCAGATAGAAGATAAAGTCATAAACACATTCATTTATGATAAAAGAAAGAAAAGGAAAAAAAGAAGGACACTATAGCTTTCAGCTCTAACATGTCTGTAGCAGTAGTGGTAAGACTAGCCTCATTATTTTCTTACTCTTCCTGGGACATTATATATATTATGTCTGAGGACATGAATATCTTAATATGAATTTTAACTTACAACTCTTCAATACTGTTTATAAATTTGCCTATCCGTTCCTTCATCCCAATTACTTTTATCCTAGGGTGTTAGCTTTCCTTAAAAAATTCTAGTATTTTGTATTTGTAACTGCATTTTTATATTTGGGATTTTTATTAAACACCATATTTTATGTTAACTTTCAAGAATGAAACCATTTGCCGTATATTTTATATAACTAATTTTAACAATAGATATTTATAAGATCTCTACAGAGTAATAGAGACTGATGGCATGTAATCAGAGAGCAGTGATCATTATTGTTTTTATTACTTAATTCTGTGTTTATTACTAGAATTTAAGGCTATTTAAAGTATTCTTTAATCCTTGTTTGGTTTAGTTATTCTTGAACTATGCATAGTTTGAGCATAGGAAATAATCATTTTGAGTACTTTTGTCCTAGAATTTCACTTAGTATTGGCACAATAGATGAAACATCCACAGTGATTTATTGTCTCATCTTACTATGATTTTTATGGACACAGAGTAATTTTATCCCCTGTGTACTCTGAAGAGTCTTGAAGTTATGGCAGTAAATGTCTGATTAATAAGATTATTATTTGATGAAACTAAAATCCATTATAGTGTTTATTATACCCAATTATTATATTCTAATGGGGTATACAGTATAAAGTCTGTGGATATGCTTTAGGCTATGAAGTTAAATTTTTGTTTCACTTATTTAATAAATATTTTAAAACCACTTCATTCTCATTTGCTTCAATGTAAATTACAGTTAAGTGGAAAATTAAGTATAGTGAATACTGGCTATTTTTTATACTTTTAAGCCTTAAGGAAAATGAGGTTGGTAGTCTTAAAAATGAAAAAATATAATAAGTAATTTATTACTGTAAATCATGTGATGAAGTGTGTTCATTTTGCCGTGCTGTCTTAGTCATATAATTTCCATAAGACTGTATGCTTTCTTATCCTTTTATTTGAAATGAAATCTCTGTAATTCCTCAGTGATTTCTCCAGAATAATTGTAGGGAAAGTACAGCACCTTTATTTGAATTATAAGAATGATAAAAAGTTCTGTATGTTTGATGCTTTGTGGTTGATTTGTGAGTCTACTTGAAATGCATTTCTCATTACATTTTATAACAATTGAAAGTTTGAGAGAACCCAGAAATTAAATTTGTCTTTTTAAAAAATAGCTTCTCTTTTAATTAACCTTCTTTCCTCTGAAAAATGTAATGCTTCATTCCTAAGAGAATACTAAAGTATACATGACAGCCTTTTAAGTATAAGGGATATTTTTTTTTACAAATAACATATGTTTTGAAATTCAGATTTGTGTTTTATCAAACTTACCTGTTGGACTAATCAGTTTACTGACACTTTATAAATGTACTTCAAATAATTTTTCAGTCTGGGTTTATTCAGAATGATACTAGGCTTACATTGGAAAATTAAGACAATGTGCAGATAGTATAGTACCATAAGAAATTCACTATTAGAGATGAAAATTCGAGAAATGTGTGCACATTTTATATATTTGTAACACTTAAAAAATAAAGCATTTGCTTAGCACATTTCAGTTAACATAGTTTATTTGAAAGGAGGAGAGCTCCAACTGTAAAAACTATTACACTTACCCCCACATCCATGAGATCTTTTGGAAAAAACAGGTCAGATTTCAGTTGTACCAGCTTTAACTGTGCCCATCGTAAGAACTCTTCCTGATGGAAGGAAACTGTCTTATATAACATCAGGTAACAGTTAATAACTGTTAAATGGGATTGAGGGAGGCTTTGTTGCTGATGAGGTTTTTTTAATCCCAGTCTCTGTCTCTTGCATATAGAGATGAAAGAGTCACTGGGTAGGAACCTGTTTCATTTGAAATGCCTGGTCTTTTTTCTGTTCTTCCAGAGAGCCTCCAAGGCATTTCAGTTAAAGATTTCTCTCTGAAAGTATCAAAACATACTTCTAATATAAGCAACATTTAAAAAATCCTTTGCCCTTTAACTTTGCCCAAATAACTCTTTTTATGAGAAGTTTGACATCTTTTAGGTAAAAGAACAGAGAAAAATTATATTTCAGTTTACAAAGAAATCAGCAAAGCTATGATGGGATACATTGTGATTTTAAATAAAGAGAAGTAGTACTAAATTTCAGAAATGCATACCTTTGGCCTGTTTAATCACACAATTCTCTCAAAGGTGATATGAAAAAGGAATGAGTTCTTATTTTCCTTATCAGGCCATCTTTGTGGTATTGCCTTCTTTCAGCAATTAGTTTATTTATATAGCTGTGCACATTTTAAATTGCTGTATATTTAAATGGCCTTATAGTATTGGACAGTTTCATGTTAAATTCCACCACATATTTATAATTTACAAGAATAAACTGGTGATTGGAAACTGAATTTTCTTTGCAGATGTTGCTGCTGAAGTCAGGAAATAATTGATTTCGGCTGTACTTGTTAAAAGTTATTGAGTAGAGGATAGAAGAAAACGATTACATGAAATTAAATATTTGTGCCTTTTATATACCAGAGAAAGAATAATATATAATTCAAATTAGTGCATATTAAAATTAAATATGCCTCTTTACAGAAATCAAATTAATGTCTGTTATTATATACTTAGTCCTGTTATTGGAAATATGCACACTGAAAAGCTTATATGATATGCTATATTACATGATACAAAGAAAATTGGATTTTTGCTCACTGATAAATAAATAAATATTCAAAATGAGGTGATAATCAGGCTTGCCAAAGCCAGTGTTTATGAAGTGAAGTAAGTATTGTTTATTTCATTGACTTCAAGTGTAAATGGAAAGGATGCTGAAATGCATTCACGGATCTGTTTGTTATATTAGTGATTCTTACTGTGTTACACTATTTTTATATAAAGGATGAAGAAAGAATTCATCATTCTGACTGCAAATGCTTAACAATAATTAGCAATAATTCTATAATACTTTGTATGTAAGTTGGTTAGATAAATATGTATTGATATAACACAGACATGCTTTGAAATTGCCTAACTAATCAAAAGAATAATCAATTATATTCAGCAGCAAGTTATGTCTGGCATTTAGAATAAATGTTTATTTCAGTGATTAAAAATTAGGTTAAGTATTTGATTAATTATGTTATTAAAAGGTTTTGTAGGTCTGTATATTAACCCTACTATTTTTCAGTATTCAATTTTTAGAGTAAAATAGAATTAGCAGCCAGTAATTATAAAAATGAGATTCTTCAACTTTTATCAGCCTGTTGTATATTATGAATGGGTTTATTACCAAAGTACATCATATAAAAAGTACATATATGAAAGAAACAACTGTATGTAACTGCTACTTTTAGAGACAGTAATTATGGCTGTTAGCACATGAAAATACTCTGCTGTAAAGATGTCCTAAATATATAGTTGGGAATAGATGTTGTTTGGTAACACAGTCATAATCTCTAAAAAAGGTTCACATCATTAAGGAACTTGTAATATGGTGGAGAAAATAAAATGTAAAGAAACATACCTTGTGGACAGTTAATGGAGTGCATACTAAATAAGTGATTTTTGATCAGAATAAAAATAAATGTGGGGATGATGGGAGCTGGAATTGGAGACATTTTTTAGAAATTAGGCAAATAATACATTGCTTATAAAAGGAATATAGTTCATTTTAAAATTAATGTAATTATAAATAAAATTTAAGCACTATTTGCATAATTTCTTTATTTGCCCTGGAAGGCAAATATTCCAGATTGATAGAATTTTCAGTTCTGTTATTTACTGTTATTTAGTCTTTATGAATTTAGTTTTCTCATTGGTAAAGTAAATTTGTGTGGATTAAATAAGGTTTATATATAGATGTATAATATGAATTATGAACTGCTATGCAAAAGAAATATGTCACATTTATGTATGATCATATAGTTCAAGGTGCTATAACAAAATACCATGGACTTGGTGGCTTAAACAACCAACA